ATAATTACAAGTCATAAAAAGGGTATATAATAAAAGGCCGCAATGTGGTGATGTGGTTGGCTGTAAAGAGGCGCGTGGAAGTGTGGTTCCAACTCTTGAGCCTCCCTGCGGTGAAGATGCGTGGTACGGGTGGTAGCAGCGCAGTCTTCCGACGGTCTTTGTCCCTTGTATTAGCCCTTTTTATTAGCATGGAGCTTATCTGGCGTTTTCTCGCAGAGCGAATGTGAGGCCAGCTTGATCCGGGTAGAAGAATAAAGTCTAGAAAAATTGGCGGAAAAAAGAATGGTGATGTTGAAGAGTTAAAAGAATGATTTCGAGGGAAAAATAATTAAAAAACCCTCTTAAAAAATTTGGAAAAAATACATAAAAGATAGAAAAGAATTTAGAAAAAGACCTGCAGCACCATGGTACTACGGTTGGATTTGAAGGGGATGTTAAAAGTCTGGTTGGAGATGTCTCAAGGTCAAGAACCCTAAAGTCCTAAATCAACAGACATCTCCCACGTCGCGTATTGTTCTGAGGGTTAAGCTACCGAGGTGTCAGTGATGCACCGGGGGGTCGCGAAATATCGGCAATCTGCCATAGATCAGGCCATGTTTATAGCGCGCATTGTGGTGTTGTCTGAGCGTAGTTATATGGCGTGTTAACGGGTGTCGGTGTAGTTTTTTAGTGTAGAATTTATTTGCCTGATCCATGACATACTCTTTTAAATAAGGCAGGCTTGCTGTTTCATGCATGTCGTCAATAGGGGTATATCTGCCCGAGTTGGTGATGTGCCGAAGCGCTTTATTTTGCAGTCGCTGCAAAGCTATGTATTGCGTGTTGGATGCGCTGCACCATACCGGACAACCATAGGTAAGAACCGGTCTGATGCAGGATTTGTAGAGTGTAATTTTGTTTTCGATTGACAGCGGAGAATTTTTGATGATTAGGGGATAAATCGCTTTAAGAGCTTGAGAGAGCCTGGACTTGAGAGAAGTAATATGTGGGACAAACCTCAGTCTTCTGTCCAGGATAATACCGAGGTATTTTACAGAGCGCCTAGAAACGTACCCAGGAGCTCTGACCACTACACCACCGAGGCCATATTATAATCCTATAGGATTCGCCTCTAAATACATAGATGAAATTCCTATTTCGTTTTAGAATAACCATGTGCCATGGCTGACAGATCCTGCACATCCAATACAGTAACTGTTGCTAGTGATGGTTCAGCAACTTTCTTAGAGCCTAATATCACCAACACTTCTTGTGGGTTCCTAATCGTTCCTACAGAAAACAGAACAATTTCATTTTATGGATCGAAAAACCTGTGTACACAAGACTACCAGAAGTAGTTTCCAGAATTTATTTTAATTAAAGTTTATATTAATGTATTATACAACTAATATTTGCACAAGAATATACATATTTAAAAGAAATAAAGCTTTGATTGCATTTAATGTAGCCATTCATTAGAAACCATAACTTTATTTATGTCAATGATAGTTTTTCATTAAGATTCATTGTGGCTTCAATTAAATAACAATTTAATTCAATAATTTCTATATTTTAACCAACTAAGTTTTAATACTGATTTAATAGAATCACAATTTAATTCAATGACTTCTTATGTTTGAACTAATTTTAAGCAGGTTGGCACAAATAAAAGTAAGACAATCATTCATTTGATCATAGCTGTAATTCAGGTATTGTAAATACAGTATACCATTGGCTCAATGGTTAACGCATTCACAATATAAAAGCTTTTTCTCTGTGTACGTTAATTTCTTAGAAAAGGATTAATTTGTCAAAACAATACCCCTAGCGAGAAAAAATCGAACTAATTACTTGCCTCATAAAAATATTTATCGGCCTAGACCATAACAAGGTATTTCTTTATCGAATGTTGACAACAATAAAGTTTAAATTATAGACCGCGTGGAGATAAAATAACTTATTTACTAGTATAATCGACAATAAAAAAGCACTAAAAGGCAGTAAAACTGATATTAATTTAGCCTTATAATTTTAAAGAGCATTTAAAAGTAACCATTAACAAAAGCATGCATTATATTGAGGATTTAAAAATGTATTTGTAAGGTAGCTTTACACTTGGCGTATTGCGATTGCGATTGTAAAAGTGTTGCGTTGTAATATGAGGCGCCGTTTGCGTCAAAAGTGTAGAAAATAAATATAATATCTCTCACAAAATATAGAATTTAACGTAAAATGTATAAAAAACACAAAATAGGTATATAAAATATACCAAAACATATAAAATGTAACAAAACAAATAAAATCCAACAAAATATAGGAAATCAAACAAAACATTGAAAAAACCAACAAAATATTAAAACTCGGGTTCCTCACTTGACCGTTTGAGGGCGCTCGACGCACAAGAATTAAAAGCTAAAAGGATGTAAAGAAAACCTTAAAAACTTACCGCATTGGCAAAAAATCTTCCACTATTAGTCTTCTTGTTTGTTTTGTTATATTTTATATACCTATTTTGTGTGTTCTATACGTTTTCCGTTAAATTCTATATTTTATATTTGACGCAAACAGCGTATCATATTTTAAGCTTGAAAACGTATTGAAAAAAGTGTTTAAAGGAAAAAAGTGTGTGTCCAAAATCTCAGCGATTAATATCATTACATGAGAGAACTTGTAAAGCTACCTATTGCTTTCAATATTTGTTACATAATGTTTTTGTGTATTAATATTTTGTGTATTAATAATTTGTTAATAAATATTTCTTTATTTAGAAATTAATTTGTTTTTTATTTAACCCTCTCCGAATGTATACAGGGCGTCTCAGAAGTCGCGCACCACCTTAAAGGAAGATCTACAGACCCCCAGAAATCCTAGAAAATTGAAAAAAATCTACCGTTATTATTTTAAAAGATATGAGATTGTAAATATTAAGTTTTTAAACTTAAAAATAATAATGCCCTAAATTATAATGTTTCTAGTCTATATATATGATTGGTTAGAAATTAATGTTTCATTTTATACAAAAAATGCCATTTCGGATTTTAACTTTAACCAGTGGCGGAACTAGTAGTAGCACAAGGGAGCAGTGCGGGGGGTCCCAGGGTGATAGGGGGCCCATCATTAAAATAATTTAAAAACATGCTTCTTAAATTATTTTAACAACATTAAGAACCTGGCATATATGTATTTAGATAAATAATATAGGCAAAACAAGAAAGAATTAAATTCTTTACAAATTTTGTTGACGTTTAAAATAAATACTGAGGCGACAGTATTAGATATAATATCCATCTTAGACAAGATATACATGGTGAATATTGGTGAATATTTAACCTTCAACGAAACGTTGCCTAATTTATTATTGCCGCTGGGGTTTTTCGCCGGCAAGGTATTCGGGCACCAGGTATAGGTTATTGGAAGGGCCCCATATTGAATTTTGCGGGTGGGGCCAAATTTCGAAGTTCCGCCACTGACTTTAAGGCATGCGTTTGGCATCAGGATGTGCACAAAAATTAATTAGTTAATTGATTGTTATCTGTTGACATCACACCATGGACAATGATTGACAGTTGGTTAAAATTATATTCTGTCATAGCATTTCTGTTAAATATTGAGATTTGTGATCTGTGTGTTGTGTTTGAAGAAGGCTTAAAAATGTCAATTATTATTGTTAATATATGTTTAGTTTTTCTTCATACATTTAATCTATGGTTATATTAGTTCCTAACAAAAACTCCTTGTATTTGCTTCTGTCAAGTCAACGTAAAATAAATAATCTCTGAGCAAAAGTAACGAATCTGATCAATTAAATTAGCGTAGTGACTATAGTCATTAATTAATTAAATGATCACTATTTAAAATTTATGCATGGACAGTACACTTTTGCACTATTTTATTTCAAATATATTTGAAATAAAATAGTGCAAAAGTGTACTGTCCATAAATTTTAAATAGTGATCATTTAATTTGATGGTACCGTTTTTATCACTAACCCAAGCAACACATATTGGTGATATAAACGTTTAATTTAAAACAATAACTTTTGTATAAATAACGTTTACTGTTACGTTAATTCTACGTCAGAATGTCCGCCCTAGGAAACGTTAAAGTTTCATATATATTGAACGGTATACTGGAAGTGTTTTTTTAACGAATAATTTACACGTCTATTAAACGTTTACATTAAACACAATTTATTCTTGTATCTGTGACAAATTATAAACGTTTTTAAAGAACGTTAATAAATTAAATTAATAAAATGTTTAATAAACGTTGAAAAATTATGTTTATTAAACGGTATTCTGGAAGTGTGTTTAACGAGTTTTATTTACGTTGATTAGACGTTAATTTAATGTACATAGATACGTATATCTGTGACAAAATATAAACGTTTAAAATTCAATTTTAAACGTTTACTTAACATATAGGTATTACTCAAATAAAACTTTTGAAAAACGTTGATTTAACATAAAAAATTAAAAAATATGTAAAGTTTTCTATAGTCTATAAAACATAATATGTTATAGAAAACCTCAAACATTCTTTTATTTTTAATGTTAATTCTATGTTTTTTAAGTTTTATTGAGTAATACCAAAATACGTTTAAAAACGTTTAAAATTGAATTTTAAATGTTTATAACTTGTCACAGGTAATATCGTATATTATACGCGTATTAAATAAAAATTAACGTCAAAAAGATCTTTAAAAAAACTAAATATTATGTAATAAATGTTTTACATTTCTAATATTTGTCTACACCCCAAAAAATAAATCATCAAAATTCGGTTTGGTCACCCAATTTTGATGATTTATAAAATATATTTTAGCACAACATACCTACCTATATTTCCCAATTTTTTTAAGGTTTAAGAATTAGATTATACGTCAGTTTAAACCTTAGTTATGTAGCCTAATTAATAAAAGAAAAACATATATTTAAAATAAATTATTTATTTTTTTATAAAAACTAAAAAATAAATTATTAAAAACCAAAAAATATGTTTGTTAAAACTTTTGACAGGATTTAATTATCCCGGGATTTTTTTTTCTCCCTTTGTTCTAATCGATGCTTGGCTAATTTAAGCCAATCTTGAATTGCACTTTGTATATTTTTATCATTGAGGTCCGATCTATCACCCAATCTTGAAAATGCACTCATTGTTGCCTCTAAAAATATATTTTAAATTTTAGGTGAAATTTTTTTAAAACTTTAAGTACCTTGTATTGCCTTGGACATTAAAGTATCCCGGAAAGCTTTTTTCTTATGGTCGCGTCCGGACCAATTGAATTTTACTGCTATTTTGTCGCTTAGCATAAACTTCATCATGTGCATTACTGCATTCCTGACCGAACTACCCCCAATACATGCAAGGCGGGTTTTCTAAAACATTTAAAATCATTTAAACTATGGTTTAATTATAATTGTTATCTAACAAAATTTGGTATTTTTAAAAAATAATTGTTATCTAATAAAATAGATAAAAAGCTGAAGAAGACAGAATGGTTGATTGCTACTTCCTTAACAGAAATATATCTTCACAGAATATTTTTAAATATTATTATTTTCTCTTTCTCAGGCCTTGGTAATTTGTTCCACTGGTAGAACAAATTCTTTCCACTGGTAGAACGAATTCTTTCCATAAATTAATTGCCAAGGCCTGAGAAAGAGAGAATAATTTCTCGCGCAGGGAGTGAAGACGTCACTGTACTCTGTACTAATAAATCCAACTCTACTTTAAGTATTATACTTCTGTTATGTGTTTTATCTACAAAATCCACAAACTATGTATAATCACTATAAATAAAACAAGGCAGCTTTAAGTTGAAGTCTTCAAAGGTAAGTAACAAATAAAATACACCAAACACTGGTCATATACATGTACTTAAAGATATATCTTTTTCAGATCAAAATCCATTTACATAGTAGCAACAATACCATAGAACAGGAATCTGGGATCGGGGGAAAACTTAAGGCTGCAAATTCATATCTATTGAGGGAAAACAGAATAGAGGAGGGGCGCAATTGTTAGTTTTAAAATTATAAAATGTAATATTTTTTTTTAGATATCCAAGGCCAGTAAAACAATTGTTGACATGTTATTGTATTAAGTGGTGTGCATATGATTTTATTCCAAATTTGCAAACAGAATAAAAGGTGTATTTTTATACAGGGTGAGTTTTAAGTTGACGCGTTCCTTTTAACAGTGTGTAGAAATCAGATAGACAAATAAATATTTTAAGTCTTTTTTATCAAAACTCAAAAATAAGAGTTATAGCCCTTCAAAGTTTAATTAAATTTTGAGCCGGTCCTGGCTATTGTTAACGAAAAACTAACCATAAAATTAACAAAATAAACAATGTAAAATGTCATATATGACAGCAAACATAACCATTTAAATCAAAATGATATTTAGCAATGAAAAATGTCAAATGGTTATGTTTTTTGTTTACAATAGTCAGGACCGGCTCAAAATTTAATTAAACTTTGAAGGGCTATAACTCTCTTATTTTTGAGTTTTGATAAAAAAGTTACTTAAAATATTTATTTATCTATCTGATTTCTACACGCTGTTAAAAGGAACGCGTCAACTTAAAACTCACCCTGTATAAAAGGATACCTAACAAACAAAAAATAAAATACATTTTGAGTTTTTATAGTTAATTTAAATAGTTAAAAACATAGGACTAAACATGTAAATTTGAAATCAAATTAAAAAGCAAAATAAAAATAAACTATTTTTTTGAGTAGCATTAAAAATAATTGTAAAAAAAATATTGCTCTTTAGTTTAATTATCTTTTAATTGCTTCAATAATAACCTGGGGTAGATTTTAAGAAATTATTTAATTAAGAAAATAGTTACCATGTAATTAAACTTTTCCTCAACTTTTAAAAATTCTTCCACTGCCCTATAGTCTTGTTTATTTGTAATGGGTAGATTTGGGATATCGGTTGGTTTTTCCATAGTCAAACTATTTGCTGCCTGATTTGTTGTCAAAATATTATTAAGCAACACGGTGTGCTGCTCTTGTCGTTGGCTTAAGAGTTCTACTTTTCGAAGAATTGTTTCTAGTAAATAGTCTGAATTAGAAGCTCTCAAACTGCTACTGGAAGAACCAGGCGTAGCTGGTAAAACAGGAGAGGAAATGGGTAAGGAATTCACATGTGATGCATCTCTTCTTATTTTTTCTGTATGAATAATACAAGCTGTTGTTGTTTCTCCATCGCTAAATGATGATATTGATGCTTTATCATCACTAAAAAATAAACAGTAACATTAATTTTTATATTTATATTTAAAAACTAAACTAACCTAAACGAAACATCATCGTAGTCTCTTTTTTTGGCCCTCATGTTTTCTTTTTCGTCGACTAATGTATCCATAAGTATTAATGGTTCCATGTCGGTTCCGGAACTGGTACTCTCTTCTATGCTATTTTTTAAAATATTATTGGCTTCACTAAAATCATCTAAAATGTATTTTTTTTATTATTGCTCCAACAATTTTTTTAGCATTTAATACCTGTTATTTTAAATATTTTAATTAGTCTATATTTTTTCCATGATGCTTCTGGTTTTCTGCATGACTGCACTATTTCGTCAAAATTGCGGGATGAAATGTTTCCTTTTGGCCAATAACAATATTTTTGTTCGTCTGCTAGCCAATTTATTGGAACTACAGAACATTTTCTCCCTTCAAATTCTACCACGGCATACATTTTCATTCGACTTTGGATTTAAGGATGAAGTAGAGGTAGGAAAGATTTATTTATTTAATATGAGCTTAGTTGGGTGACAATATACAAAGTTTTTTATATTTTAAACTTTTTTAACATTAAAAAAATACTCACAAAAAATTATTAAAATAGTTAATGAATAAACTCGGTAAAAAATCATATAAAACCATAAATAAAATTAATTATAAAAATCAAGGTTCCAGAAAAAATAGTTATAAAACAACCAGTTAATAACGAAACTAAAAAAATCCTAATTTTAAAATGTTTAAAATTATGTGCTTTTGATAAAACCAAATATAAAGTGGGAGACAAGAAAATATATATATATATATACATATATATTTACAAAAATATATATATACATTTTACTTTAATTTATTAATTGATATTAAAATTATATATAAAAATATATAAATTCTGAGGGACATCTAAAAATGCTTAAATGGTTCTAAAATAAAAAAAGTAATAGGTAATGGCGTTTTTTTTGTGAGCGACATTTTTTAAAACTAACTTTTGGTGTCAAAAAAAGTCTATTACGATATCATAATACAAATCTGTACCTTAGAGCCAGAGTAGGTTAAGTCCAAAAACCTGATTTTGAATGAGACGCTTAATAATTTGAAACGCTGAATTTTCATCTCCTTTTTTGTTTAAAGCTTGATTTCTATGAAAACAGAATATTCTGTGGGTTTTATAGAAATAGAGGTTTAAACAAAAATGCAGGTGAAAATTCCGCGTTTCAAATTATTAAACATCTCATTCAAAATAAGGTTTTGGACGTCTCTGGCTCTGAGGTACAGAAATGTAAAAAATACCCAGGCAAATAAAATCAAACATTAAATTATTCATTTTTTTGATGAATAACCGGGCAAACGTAATAACCATTTTTAAAAGGTACTGCAAAACATTTGTAGGATATTTCTTTTACATTGAAAATCTCTTGATTTCCTTTTCCTCTTGCAAAATAAATACCCAATTTTGATGATTTAATTGGATGTGTAAAGAAGTCTTCCAAATATCTAAATGGGGTGCAAACTATTTGGTAAATTTTATTTAAATTTACGATTGACTCAATCACATAAATTTTATGCTTTACAACAACAACATTGTTAGGTTGCGATATAGAAATAATTATTTCAAATAAATTATTGTTAACTGATTTTAAAAATTTTAATTTTTTGCAAGTGAAATATGAATTATTATAGTGTTTTACTAATATCGGGGTGTATTCACTTTTACTTACATTGGTATTAATAAAGGTTCGTTCAAATTCTGAAAGGCGATTATGTATTTGTTCTAAAGGAAGAGCCTTACCCCGTATCATTTTTTTAATCTTGCCTAAAAAATTTTCAAACATAAAGCATGAAAAATTTTCCAATTTTCCAAACTTTTTAACATCCTCGTGTATATGACTTAAGGAATGGACATTGTAGGTCACAAAAAATTTATCATACAATTCTGGAGAAAATCTTAAAAAATCATTAATTGCGTCTTTTGCTGTTGTAAAATATTTACCAATTAAGTACTCATTATTAAAAATAAATATAGCGCAATGTAAAAGAAGAAAATGCTCATAATATTTTTTATCAATATTATTTTTTAAAGCCAGAGGGCCACAATAAAGCAGAAAAAATCTATACTCCAAGGCTTTCCATCTCTTAACTTCATCTAATGAACGAATTTTTCTGTGAAAATCAACAGGAATAAATTTTTTTATGTGTCTTAAACTTTCGCTTATATTATTAAAGTTTAGTTTGCTCATTTTATAGGGCCGCTTTCCTTCAATCCAATATAAAATTAATAACCTTTTCATAACTCCTAGATATATTAAATGCATTGGATCAAGTACAAATTGTGACACCAAACCTACTTCAAGTGCTAAAAGTGGAGATTTTTCTTTAATGTGTCTATCTGACCTTATATTGTTTAAAAAATCACTGTCAGATCTCAGTGCATGAAGAGATTTAACTGGGTAAAAAGTTTTGTATTCTTCTTTGCTACCCCTTATTACACATCTTTCGCATCCAATTGTGCTACTGTGCCCCAAAACGCACTTTAGGTAAGACCTGGCAGGGGCATCACATGAGAAAAAATTTATTTTTATATGACACATTTTATGTTCGTATTTGATTCCGTTCGAAAATAAGTGTAAACATTCTGTAATAAAATCATTTAAAAAGTCTTTCAGTGGTGAGGGTTTTCCCGAACCACAAAATATTGCAGCAGCAAAAGGATAAGGACTTGTAAAGCTATCACTGTGAACTAAAACCGGCCAAAACTCTGTTGAACTACTTTTAAATAATGGGATTCCATCTACATTAATATTTAATAAAATTGTATCATTAAAATGCTTTAAGCCTTCTGCAATTTTTTTTTTTAAACCATTTTCTAATCCAAAATAAATCATGTTGCCATTTTCAAGTTGTATTTTTCTCACGTTGCGAGGTGTTTTTAATATAGAACGAGCATCTTTTTTCAGAAATGGAAAAGCTGGATGAATTATGTTTATTAAATCGTTTATGGCGTTATGAGTAATACTATTGTCAGTGGCCCATTTTGAAAATTTTGCTAAAAATTGGGCTTCATTAACATTTTTTTCATTAGGATCAGTTGCATTTAAAGTAGTTTTTTTAATAAAGTGATTTGGGTTTTTTTCTACTAAATTATCTGGTGCATTTATACTTTGTAAGGAGAGGTAATCGTTTTCAGAAAATAAGTCAATATTATTAAAACTTGAAATATTTTCTTTAACTACACTATTTTTTAAAGTAGGTTTTTCATGTTTCTTTATTTGATATAAGTTTACCAAATTAGGCAAGATTTTAGTAGGGAGTGTCTCCCCGACCGTCGGACGGACGTAGAAAAGTTTTTGCTCGACCGTCGGACGGACGTAGAAATGTGTGTGCTCAACCGTCGCATATTTTAACCTCATTTTCTGTGATGTGAATGACACATGTGATTCGTCTTCGTGGTATAAGCTTTTTCTATGCTTTGAGTGAAGATGGTGCGAGTTTTTATATAAGGTAGGTAGGGTATAACTAAATAATTTAATTACTTTTTAACCTTTTTATAAATAAAATTAACTGGGCAATACTGATCATCATTTTCGGTTGTTTTAGTGGATTTAACAAAGTGCCTCCAAAATGGATCTTACTGATGTTCCTTTGGGTTTCAAATTAGGAGATATTTTTACTACAGTGGATGAATTTCATACAAAACTGGTAGCAGCATGCAATAACAAATGTATACAATTTTACAAAAGGGATAGCTTGACTATTGCAGCTGCAGCCAAAAAAGTAAAAAGATATTTAAATAAGGATTTAAAATTTTATAAAGTACAGTACTGTTGTATCCATGGGGGGCGTGAGTTTAAAACAACAGGCACAGGCAAACGAAATTACAAGTGAGTAGTACCTATATGTCCAGGGTGAAACACAGAAGGTGACCCATATACCTATCTCAGAAACTACTGGTGTCATAAAAAATTTGTATAGAACAAAAACAAATGCAATAAAAAAATATATAATTTTATTGATAGAGGGTGTTCGATTTTTCCTGGTACGATATCAACTTTTTTGTTTTTAATGAAATACCTTGTATTTCTTGCATTTATGGATTCTACACAGTTTTTGAGATAGATTTTGTAAATATATTAGTTATAACTAATATAACTATAGTAACCTAGTTAATGTTATTACTTTTTAAGTAAACTAAAGTTTAAACAAATTTTCTTCAAATGCAGACACTTAAAAAGTTAAAAATAACCAGGCAGAGAAAGAACATATTATCGTCGAGCATACATTTTACTGCCGAAGCAGTAGATTGTGTGCGAGGCAGCCCCGGCGTTTAATAAAATAATTTCTTAAGATTTCACTTGAAATTTTCATGACATTTATGAAATTTATAAAAATTTCCAAAATTTCTGAAATTTCATGAAATTTATGATAACTTTCAAACTTTCAATAAATTTCAATCACTTTAAGTGTAATATATTAATATTGAAATAAGCCCACTCGGGGACCATGGCAAATTATCTTACCTCCTACCCCTCTGTGGGCCCCTGCACCAATAATATAAATAGTAAATACCTATGTTTACCACAAATTTCTTGAGATTTCCTTTTAAAATATTTTTAAAATTACTTAAAGAGATATAGCACTTTTTGGTAAGCTAATGAGATTGTGCCACTTTCATTGTTTTATATTTATATATATTTATTATTTTGAAATATTTTACTGGAATTTTCCGAAAACTGAAGAAAATTTTATGAGCCAAAGGGATTTTTTATCCGTTTTCCGATGCAATTATAGCAAAAGTAAAAGTTAAAATTAATCATGACTTTTAAAAAAAATTTAAAGTCTGATTTAATTTACAAATTAAATTTGTAACTGAATTAAATTATTTAAATTAATTTATGCATATAAGTAACAATAATTACTTATAGTGTATTCAAATCCAAGCCGAACTAAACAAAAACGCCCAGACGCTTGATAACTCGTTCTTATTGGTCGATTCGGAATATGTTGTAAATTATTATTAAAGGTCCCAGGGGAGGCCGCATGTGAAAATTTCAGTAAATTGCGAAACTTTCAATGAAATTTCTGAAACTTTCAAAGGCAATGTTGAAATTTTCGGATTGAAAATTTTATTTGAAATTTTAAAAAATTTCACTTTTCCAACTAGTTAAATGAAATATTTCAAGTTTGAAACTTTCAAAGTTGAAATTTTCATTTGAAAATTTCAACTGTCCCAACCCTAGTTGGTACTAATTTTATTGGAAAATATTATACAGGGTGTTTTCAACACCCCGCGGCAATTTTAAAAGTTCAAGAAAATTTGTTTAATCTTTAGTTTACTCAAAAAGTAACATTTTTTAACTAATATATTTTAAAAGATTATTTTATAAACTGTAGAATCCAAAAATGAAAAAAAAAATACAGGGTGTTTCATTGAAAATAAGAAAGTTGGTAACGTCCCCACCGTTCAAAACCATGTATAATCAAAAATATATTATACCACATGAATTTTTGTTCTCTACAAATTGTTTGTGACTACAATAGTTTCTTAAATAAGTATATGGGTCAGCAGTACCTATTAAACACAATATTCCATTCAAAAAAATTATATTACTTTCTTTCAGGACTTTTCGCGGTGTTGATTTATGTCCCGCTACACTCACAATTAGATTGTCATCTACCGGCAACGAATTTCAATTAATTGTACTAAATACGAATCATAACCATCAGGTGGATCCTGTTCTATTTCGCCTTTTACCACAACAAAGAAAACTACCTAAGGAAATAAAAGAGGAAGCCAGACGTTTGTTAAAATTAAAGGCAAATAAGCATTTACTTCGACAAACATTGGAGGAAAAATCTCATAAAGTTATTAAACTTAAAGATCTCCAGAACTTAAGACAGAAAGACCGTTTGCAGTATAAAAATAATATAGAATCATCAGTAAGAAAAATTAATAATAAGTTTGGTAAGTTATTATTAGTAAGGTGTTGTTCATAAACTACGTCACACGTTTAGGGGGAGGGAGGGGGTCAAGAGTTTGTGATTTGGTGTGCAATTATACGTGACATAAGGGGAGGGTCTGAAATTCCCTTAAAAGGTGTGATGTACTTTATGGGCGACCCCAAATATTAGGATTATAATACCCTATAGGGTTTATTATTAATTTGATATTTTTTATAGAATCCGATTGTCATCTCCTAATTGATGAAGATAACGTCTTTAAAGGGTTAATGTTCGCCACGCCAACCATGAAAAATGCAATGAGAGCATTTCCAGAGATATTATGTTTAGATGCAACCTATAAACTATTAAATATACGAGCACCAGTATACTTAATATTAATTGAGGATGGATGTGGTGAAAGTGTAGTTGTTGCAGTAGGAATTTTGTTGTCTGAGGACCATGAAAGCTTAAAGTGGTTTTTGGAGGTATTTAAGAACATGAACCCTTCGTGGACTAACACGAAAAATATTATGGCAGATAAAGATTTAAATGAAAGAGAGGTTTTAAAAATATGCTTTCCGCAAGCTCAAATTTCAATATGCTTGTTTCACGTGTTTAAAATTTTCCAAAGAGAGATTACCACTGAGAAGATGAAAATTACCAGCCTAGAACGAAATCTTACTTTAGAACTTCTCCAAAAACTAACATTTTCCAAAACCTATGAAGAATTCGATAAAATTAAATCAGAAATTTCAAATAGTTTGTCACAAGCTGTGGTGCAATACCTAGAAAAACACTGGACAAATATTAGAGATGAATGGTGTCCTTATCTAGGCGAAAAAATTTTAAATTTAATGAATAGGACAAATAATCGTGTTGAAAACATAAATTCCAAGTTAAAAGCAGTAATAACAAAGAACAGTACTCTTGAAGAGTTTTTAGAGCATTTGTTTGCAATCTTAAGTTCTCTTGAAAAAGAGAGGCAAATCCGGTTAGCAGAAAAAATTAACAAAAGATCCATAATGCAGTACAATAAAACATCGCCAGAGTATTCATATTTAAGTTATGTTAGCGAATATGCCTTCACTAAAGTTCTAAATCAGTTAAATAACAGGAAAAAAGTAAAAGTGACTTCTATAGATGGTAACTACTTCGTCATTGAACGAAATACTGTTAAAGATGGTGGTAATGAAAAACAAAAAGCCACACAAAATACCTGTGACTGTTATTTTAATACTTCAATGGGACTGCCATGCAAACATATCTTTTGTGTACGAGATTATTTAAAGCTAGAACTATTTGAAGAAACTGTAGTTAATAAACGCTGGACTAAACAATATATTTTCCAAAATCAACATTTTTTTAAAAATCTATCAGATCGGGCGTTACTAACGAATTATAATACACCGACTAATAGCATTGATATGCTGTCACCAACAACAACAAAAGTTTATAGCCAGCAGGATAAATATAAAAAGGCATTTTCAAAATGTAAATTAATTGCTGCTTTGAGCTGTGAAGCGAGTGGAAAGAGATTTAAAAATGTTATGTCAGCCTTAGATGATTTTATACATCTGTTAGAAAATAATAATCACTTAATCAAAGTATCATCTACATCTGGTCAGCAATGGGATGAAGATGCGAATTATGATTCAGAATTCCAAAACTGCAACGAATTAAATAGCGTAGAACGTGGACAGTTTCCAAGTGCTGGTGGTTTGTTACGTGAAGATGGCGAGATTGCAATTTCTGGTAACAGGTGTACTCCAGATGCTATTTTTGAAGTTAATGACCTGAATTGTAATATGGTTACTTCAGAAAATATTTCTACAGCCCAAGATATATTACAGATAAAAGGTAATTGCAATAATTTGAACAATATGCAGATTATTGGCGATATAAGCATTGAAGAGATCACAGAAGCTCAAGTTATTATTCCGATAATATCTAATTGTTCTTTAGACAATGTTTTTCTTAACAATAATAATGATGATACTTATACCAAGAAATTAGATATAGGAGCAGAAAACAAAGACTTATGTAATACTTATACCAAAGAACTAGATATAGCAGTAGAAAACCAAGACTTATGTGATACTTATACCAAAACATTAGATATACAAGCAGAGAACCAAGACTTAGGTGATACTTATAACAAAGGGTTAAATATAGAAGCAGAAAACCAAGACTTATGTAATACTTATACCAAAGAACTAGATATAGCAGTGGAAAACCAAGACTTATGTGATACTTATACCAAAACATTAGATATACAAGCAGAGAACCAAGACTTAGGTGATACTTATAACAAAGGATTAAATATAGAAGCAGAAAACCAAGACTTATGTGATATTTATAACAAAATATTAGATATAGAAACAAAAAACCAAGACTTATTCCAAAAAAATATTAAGTTCAACATAGCAGGTATTAATAATGATAGAAGTCCTTATCTGAAAAATGATAGAGA